TTAATTGCTTAATGACTACCAAGGCAGCACTAATCTCTTGGGGTAGAAGGAGAGACAGAAAATGCAGACCACAGATGCATGAATGAATGAATTCGAAAATATCCAAACTGTGGAAAAAAGTGGGTTCAATAATTGAAAATAATTTCCATAAAAATTATAAAAATAAATAAAAAAAAAGTACTTGAAATCTTGTGTACGTAATCACTGTTCTTCCATTCCACTAGAGAGAGAGAAAAGGAAAGAGAAGAGATTAGATTAGATAGGCAAAACGCATTGAGAAGCGAAGAAGGAGCAGACCGCCTCTAAAAATTAATACCTTGGAGGGTAGCCCTTTCCTTCTCGGACTCTGCGTAGGGGCACCCCCTCCCACAAAAAATACCTATAAACATTAAACAGCCCTGCCCTGCCCTTACACCGGACATGCCTTTGGGATTACACGACCCTCATACTCTCCCCTCTTTCTTTCTCCTTAATTTTTCTTTTTCAAAATTAATATTGTGTTGTCACACATTTATTTAAAAGTAAGTATAAAGACGGAATCATGAACATGTTTTTGAAAAGTTAAATTATGCTCAAATGTAGTGATTATATGGTATATAATATATGTTTAGGGTTAGGTTTATTTTAATAAAGTATGAAATGGCGTCGGTCAATTGTGATTAAATATTGATTAAAGAAAAATAAAATATGCGGAGAGCATGTGAGGAGGAAATAAAATTGGTAGAAAAAGAGATGATAAGGCTTAGGGAAACGGTTTTTGTAATATATAATGTAATTCCCAATGCATGTCCAGTGTTGGAATCTCAGTCAAACGGTTTATATTGCTTTGCTTTAGTGTGCAACAAAATGCCCACATCTTCTTCAACCTAAAACACACTTAAATTAATAATTCCAAAAGCTGCTTAAAAACTCTTCTTTATTATATTTTAATTTAAAAAGAGATGGGTTTTGGAAGGGCAAGTAAGAGGGCAGATTTCCAAGTAGTCTGTGATTTGTGTGTATTGAATGTGTTGGGTTTTGTGGTTAAGGCAGCCGTAGGAATAGCGTTCGTGTAGGGACGCAGACCGTAGGTTGGCGGCAACGCAACGCCTTGGCATTGGCATTGGATATTTGTATTTACCATAAACATTCTTATTATTACTTATTTCTCTCTCCTCTCAACTACCTTTGAATTTCCCACCCTTTCACGTGCTTCTCTTTATTGCTTCTCCCTTTCCCTTTCCTCTTTTACTCTATAACCTAAACCCTTCTTTCCAACTCCAAATTTACTTTCTTTACTCTCCTTATTCTAATCTAAATATTTATATATAATTCTAAATTTTAAAAATAAAAATAAAAAAGAAATGGATTCGGGGAAAAAGACAAAACAGTTTGTCCAGGTTGGAAAAAGTGGAGTGGGAAATTACAGGGAGCTGAGAACAGGGTTGTGGAGCTAACTGAGTTGAGGCGACATTTGTGCATGTATATACATTTCATCCGACAACCTTTACCTTCTCCCATTTCTATCCCCCAACGGGATAACCCTTACCTTTTCATTTTCGAACGTGTTTTTTTTTTTTTTTTTTAATATATTAAATAATTTATTTAGAATTTAAAAGTTGATGAGTCCAAATTTGTAATTTTACGTTTAAATATATATATATATAGTGATATTAGGGCAGGGCCCGTTTTGGTACGGGTGGGGGGGTGACGCAGATCTGGACAAGGATCAATCGTGGGGCCCAGCCCATGCCTGTCGGTAAAAGGGAAACGAGCTTCCTCCATTCCCATCTCACGAGGAGCTTCTGGTCATTTCACAAAATTGCAAGGGAAATGAAGGGACGTGGCCCCCACGTGGCACTATCAAAGTCCACACCCGCTGTTGACACGTCAATGTCACAGTTGGAGAGAGAGAGAGAGAGAGAGAGAGAGGATGCGAGAGTGGAGAGGATTCCAATATTTTGAAATGATGAGATGGGTTTGACGTGGGTTACTTGCTTTACTTTTACTGCTTCTTTTTTTCTTTTCTTTTTTTAATAGAAAATATTCTTGGGAGGGATCTTTCACAGTCTTCTCCAGCTAAGAAACAGCTCGCAGAGAATGTGGTACACGCGCTTTATAGGAGCGTCGTAGTGAAAGAGGGCTGATTTTGGAGCGGAGGGAAGGCGGCGTTGAAGAAGGTAGAATACAAATAATAATAAAAATAAATAATAATAAAAATAAATAAAAATAAATAGGTGGTAATACAATAGCATGCTCCCCCATGCTATACAATCGCTCTCTCTTTTGTATTACCTTTGTTTTGTTGTTCCATATACAATAAACCATTTTGTTTCTGAATTTTACATATTACATTTAATATATCCTTAGGGAAGGGTGCTTATATTACATTACATTCAGCTCCCTTGTTTCTTTTAGCAGTGGAAAAGTGGAACATGTTAGCAGTGGAATTTAAGGCAGGGAGTGTAAATGAAATATAGAATATTATATATATGGACATAGGGTAGATAATAGTTAAGTATGAAAAACAAAGCATGCAGCAATGGGTGATGCCAATTAAAAAAGGGCCCACCAGAATTTTAATTACGGAGTTAATGCAAAGGAGGGGCTTGTCTGCAAATTGAGTGGCAACCATATCCTTTGCTTTTATTATTACTATTACTCTTGCGTTTTTCTTTGTGTTTGCATTTTTGGGCCCAAAACAACTAATAAACCTCCACGTCTATAACTCCGTCTTGTGATTTTTAAAATGCGTGTTTTGGGAAAAGGTCTCATCAGTCCTACAATTTTTAAAACGCGTTTGTTAGAGACACGTTTCCATACCTTTATGAGAAATGTTTTATTAACCTCTTCAACCCGATGTGAGATCTCACGATCCATCCCCTTGGAGACCTATAGTCATCGTTAGTACACTGTTCGATGTCTGGCTTTGATACCATTTGCAACAACCCAAGGCCTAAACCTAGTGTTATCACTATCACACTACCAGATGTCTAGATTTGATATCATTTGTAACTGTCCAAGGTCAAACTTAGCGTTTTCGCTAACACAACCGCCCAATGTTTGACCCGATACCATTTATAACAGCACAAAACCACTGATAGTAGATATTGTGAACTTTGACTCGGTATGTATGACTGTTAGCCTCACTACTTTTAAAATGCATATGTTAGAGAAAAGTTTGTATACCTTTGTAGAAGAGAATGTTTTATTACTTTCTCTTGTAATTTATTTTGAGAAAAACTCGTGACAAATCTTACCTTAAAGTTAGAGGCGTTCAATCTCCATGATTGAACTTTTAGTACACTGGATGAAGTTATATTACAGTAAAACCTAGGGAATATAATAAATTGGAGGTATTGAGAGAATGAGGGCTGTCTCCCAAAAGGGATATATAGGGCACAACGAGGAAGATTGGGGAGCCAAGTTAGGGGGTGGTGTGGAAGGGTGTAGGTCGACTATGCAAAAGTTGGGCATTAGGGTGACATGAAGGATGAAAGTTCCATATCCGTTATTTGTAGGGTCATGTCATGTCATACAACTATTGGTTATGGGGTGTGACATATGGTGGGATTTCAAATAAATATCAATTATTTTGGTTGTATATGCATGTTCGGACTTTCATTTAACTTTTCTAATAATCCAAGTTGGAAATAAAATATTGGGAGCTCAAATATTGATGCAGTATTACTTTAAAAAAAAATAATAATTTAAAAGAAAAACATTCTTAATGTATGTGTATAAAAGAAGAAGAAAGAGCATGTGATTGGAATTTAAAAAAAATGGAAGAAACGGAGCAAAGCGAAGGAAAGCAATCCCAATCTTGAAGCTACTTCAAGTGGCACACCACCTCCCCACCACGGCTTACTCAAATATTCTCCCACATGCACTCTAAACACAAAAGCTCAATATCAAATTGGCAACTCAGGCCAGTAAAAAAAAACACACACACACAATTAAAAAAAGAAAAACCTCTTCTCTTCTTAAAAATATATATTTATTACTAATGTTTTCCAAGAACAGAAAACTTTTGTTGGAGAAGATAATGACCAAATTGAACAAGTTCTTATAAGGAAGAGTAGTCACAGGAGAATTGATACGAGGGTAAAAGTGGAAAATGAGAATTAGGGCCAGGGGTGTGGACCATGGAGGAGGGTCACGTGGTGGTTTGATGCAGCCCACCACAGTTGTAAGCCCATTTGAAGATTTAGAGAAGAGAGAGAAAAATGTAAAATAAAAAAAAATAAATAACTTGTTGCCATTTACTACACTAGCGGGCTTTGCAAGGCAACCTCATCCGCACCCCTTTTTAACCATCTTTCTTTTTATTCAAATTCAAATTTATTATTTTAACATTTATTTATTTTCAACTCTGTTCGTATTCGGATAACGACAGATTTTGTTCTCTTCTCCTCCAAATTACGCTTCTACCCTTGTCCTCTCCCTTCCTCTATTATCTTCCTCTCCAAATTACGCTTCTACCCTTTTCGTCAATTAAACCAATATTTCCGTTTAATCTTTAATTCCCAAATATAAAAAACAGAATTTTAATATATCAAATTTACACACTTTTCTTAAAATGATGGTATGAAAATAGATTTTAATATATATATATATTGTTTAGGAGTAGAATAATGAGGGATGATTAGTGGATTTAATAATTAATTAATGATTAATGTTGATGTGAAGGAGCAGGGAGTAGATTAGGTGTAAAAGTAATTAAGGAGTTTTATTGTTTGTGTTGCCCAAAAGAGTAAGGGAAAAATTGATTAAAACCAAAATAAAAGGAAAATTAATATTTGGTTATACCCATGAAATAACGCTTTTATCATTTTGTTTGGCTGACTTTATTGTAGTTTCAGAAACTTAGGAAGTATTGCTCATGATGTTTGTCGTACTCTCATTCCCCTCTCTCTCTCTCTCTCCAATTATTTTAGTTTATTTTCTCCAAATAAATATAAAAAATAAAAATAAAAGGAAAAGAAAAATCATCCCCTTGTCTTAAAAACTAAAATAAAACCCGGGCTGGTCTGGTAGTGTGGTAGTGAGTTCTTTAAAGCTTAAAACCCTGGAGTGTATTGAAATGTGCCTCCTTCAAACTTGAAGCTTATGAGGTCGCTGTCTTTTTGTAGCCAAACAATAGAATCAATGTCCAGTTCGCCGTGTTCAGAGGTTTAGCAGATTTGGGGGTATTTTTTTTCCTTGTTTTCCTGTGTTTTTGGTATGGATTTTGGAGTTGTGGGTTTAGATGGGGTGGTGGTGGGTTCATCACACGACACATCGGGGTTCTCTTCTCTTGCTTCTTCAGATCCTGAAACGAAGCAGAAATGGTACGAATCTGGCGTTGGATTTCTACAGAAGCAGGAGCGATCTGGCAGTGGTGCTGCAGCGGAAGATGAAGACTTGAGAAGCTCAAAACTGCCCAAAACTTATGATGACTTGTCCTCTTCTTCTTCGTCCATTAAAGGATTGCTTTTTCCCCACCGACAGGTGGCGTCTTTGCTCAGATCTAATTCCCCGTTCTTTCTCTCCGATTCTAACCAACACCCTCACCAAATGCTCTGTTTTTCATCTCCCAAAACAGACCCTTTTCCTCCCGACAAGACCTCTTCTCTCTCCCGTGTCTCCCCCAATTTCTACCATTCCTCCGCCCCAAGAAATGCAGGTACTTTCCAACTCTTGCTCCTCTCTCAATTCCCACGCTGTTTTTATGGGTCTTTCACTCCGACCAGCCCTTCTCTTTCAGTTCCTCCTAAAAAGTAAAAAACTTTCTTTTATCTTGGGTTTGCCTTCTTTTTCTTCCCCCCCCCCCCCCC